AACTTTAATAGCAAAGAAAAACTCAAACACTTGTGTCCCAGAAGGAATAAAATATAAACTAAAGTGCTGGCAACTTTTGTGTTGTTATAGAAAATAATCTGCTGCCGGAAAACAAAGGACAAATTGTGTCTATGTCACAGTGTAAATCAGATCAACGTTCTAGTTTACTATCCCACAGTCCTAGAGTACCTACATCAGTGACAATTCTCATTATATACATGGAAGGAGAGAATACATTCCAGCTCATACTAATTTGTACAATCCTGTGTACCACTCCTTCAATTGGATATTACCTATATCCCAGGGAAGCATTGAAACAGAAACATGGCGAGCAAGTATAAGCTTTGTTAAATTGTTACTTTGGCATGTAACCTTATCCACAAACGAGGGTTACTACAAGTTTATGGAAATCTACACGCTGTTCACAAGTGCTACAATAACTGTAGAATATTTGCATAAGAAAATTTTAAAAATGGTTCTGGGTATATCAAAGTAAAGAAATATTTCTATTTAGTTATAGAAGGATAAAATTTAGCAGTTTTCAATTAATTCACTATCCCTACCTTATCTAAAGGCCTTCATAAGCTCAAATCTTAAAAACCAACGTTCAGTTACCAAATTTAAACAATTAACTAACATAATTATGATTTCAATTAATCACCTCCTTAGACAATATGCAAGATACTATCACCTTTAAACACGTCCAAACAGTTTATTAAATGAAATAGATCCAAGAGTCATTAACAAAAATCAAAATAAAGAAAATAATAAATCAACAGTAAGTAGGAGTTAAATAAAGCTAGAAAGGAAACTGCAATAAAACTGAACAAAATGCAGAATCAAAGTAAATTTAGTTGAATAGCATGTAATTCAAAATTCAAGACAAAATATGGAATAAATTAACCCAAAATTAGAAGATAAATAAACACAGGATTACAGAACCATATATTAAAAATATACGACAGCATAGATGCATTTAATAGCTGAAATTTGTCATATAGATTAAATGCAACAAAATGAAGTGTAAAATGATTCTAGTAAATTATATGAAATCAACACAATATGTTTTATTTAAATACAAAGCTATACAATGGGCTATCTGCAATGTGCTCACTTCAGGTATCGAATCCTGATATTAATGTTATAAGGCCTCAAGTTTACTACTGATCCACTAGAGGGCTCAAAAATATTTGGTAAAATAAGTATGACTAATGGAATACATGATTTTAAATAATTTATGTAAAAACATCAAACACTTATTCGTTGACTAAATTTAGAATCAGGAACTAACTAAAATATACGATGATTTAAAACATAGACTAAAATTGGTGTATACTGTGTGCTTAGCATAATGCGAAATGCACGAAGTAATTTAACCAGCAACATATACATCTGTCATTACATAACTATTACACACAGATGAAATTTACAGTACCACCCAAAATAAGATAAATTTGAATTTAAGAACACAAAATGAGCTAAATACAACCAAACTTACAAATAAACTTAAAACAATAAAATACAGTTTAAAATATAAAAAAAAGAATAAATAATTAAAATTAAATGATTGAGTATAGAAATATAATTTTTGATACTCAAAAGAAACACGGAGGAAAGTTTATAGATTAAAATTGACAATAGTTATGCAAAACCATACTAAAATAATAAAACATGTTATAAATAATGAAATGATACAAACTAAAATGGAGTACATGAAAAACATGAGAATTAAACAAACTAAATATACAAATATTTACATTTGGCAATACCTGTAAGGGGATTCCAGAAGAACTTGAGGTCCTCTACAGACTCCTGCTTTTTGGTAGCAATCTTATGAAAAGTCTCTTTACTTTGATAAATGCCCTTTGTGAGATAGGAGATCTCCTACTCCAATTGGCAGTCTTCTATTATCAGACATCAATTTCCATAGTTACTTCTCCCTCACAGCCAATCTAGGTCCCAAGGACTCTGACTTCCATCCATTTGGTAGTCTGGTTTTGGCAATGCTGGCACGATTACTGCAATGTGGTGTGCATCAAGTTTTATAGAATAGAGTCGGCGTTTCATAGGTGATGAACATGAGACCTAAATACTGTTCTACAGCCTGTTTTGTGATTTACGTCTTCCGATCCTACATTTTAAGACTTTTTAAGAACTAAGAAGGCATTAATTTAATTGTGAATGATGTGGTCCCATTGTAAATGGAAATGTCACAACATTCCTGTTCTTGTTGGTGTTTAGACAGCTTTTAACAGGTCAATGGACAAGAACCCCTCTCTTCTGGTGCTTGAGAGTTGACGTTCTTTTGATCATAACTGATAATTACTGGATGTAAGGTTAAGTATGTCAAAGTTGCAGGTATGGGAACCCCAGACTCTGAGGCAAACATTAAGGCCAGGGCAACTTTGGCAGCGGCAAGAGTAACAACTAGTAGTGTCATGGGTAAGGAACCCTCTTTCTACCTACACAGGTTCTAAGATTGGGAGGTATTGGCTCTTTCCTGGATTTTTTTACACCATTATCTCATGAAAGAAAGGCAGAGGAACTCCAGTTCCATTGAAGAAGGGTGTGACACTAATTTCTTACATCAGTTACTGGAATTAAGAGAATTACACTGTAAGCAGAGGCCAGTGAGTCTAATTTTAAAGGTTTTTAAACTTACTTACTGATAACACCAACTTGCTTTCTGACATAAATTAAATATAATCCAAATAAATAAAAAATAAATAAATAATAAATAAATAAATAAAAAATAAATAAATAATAAATAAATAAATAAAATAAATAAATAAATAATTCAAAAATTATATTTGTGTCAACATTATTTTATAATACCACAAGTATATAGTTAACACAAAATTTCTGTGTAACAATTTTCTTGTTCAGAAATATTTTGAAGATAAATCATTTGGTAATATCTACAAAATTTGGAATTGTACTACTTGAACATGTTTCTAAACCAAAATCTTTAGAAAATTACGATGATACTATATACTGCCATTGTCCATAATGTTCCAAAGAATTCTGTACAGTGGTTTTATTATTAGATGTGAGTCATTCTTTTATATATATTTCACAATGTTTACTGTTATCCTAGCCAGACAAACACTTGATTCTACAAACATATTAGCAAACACCATGTGCAGTTCACTGATTACCTGTCTGTGTGTTGAGTTGAGATTGGTAATGTAGTACTCAATCAATGACTTCAGATGCTTGTATCTTTGGACATGATGTAGTGCAGTGAGTGGTGCCAGCTATATAACTGAGCTGTATAAGTTTTCATCAAACAAAGTGTCCTTATAACTATTCCAGGTGGAAGCTGGATAGTTGAAAGTTCATAGTTATAGATCAGAACCAACACTTAGTCAGACAGCTGTTTGAGCAAGTGCAGCCTGATTTCATGAATACGTGTTGTATTACAGCAGGAGAAAGTGACAATATGCTATACTGAGTCATAGCACACAATGGAACACCATTTGTGCATTTGGAGGAACTACAACCTCCTTATCAATATGCACGCGTACAAACCACTGTTCTTAAGCCCAATATTGTTGAAACTGGATGGTTTGTCCACAAAACTGCAACTTACCTGGAAAACAATAAAAACCGGATGACAATTTCTACAGTAAGTCCACCCCTAAGACATCCTTCCTTGAACCAGTGCTAAAAAAGAAGTTATAGATGCCCCTCTCCACTCACACTAATTTGCCATGATATGCCAGAATAAAGTTAGTGTTAAGTAGTTAAAGTGACTGCTGTATGAGTACCTGATACACAGCAAAGTTAAGTAAAGGCCCTACTGCTTCGGTATCCACTAAAAACAAGTCTCACATTAATATATCATCACAGGCATGTGATACATCCATCAAATTTCTGAGTGCAAACTGATTGCTACACCTACCCAAGCCAGGTCAAACTCAGGCTCAACTAATTTAAACTTCGAACTGGTGTCGGCTAACAATAGGAAGAATTAAATTGTGGCGAAATGCTACAAGTTCTTCAAATACCTATAGAATGATAGGTTTCTTTTTTGTGAGTGTAAAACACTTAAATACACCAGTTCGATTTTCGATACCTCACTACTATAAAGGCTTGGTTTGGTTTGATATTTCATTGGTGGTAGTGTCCAGGGTCACTGACGAGGAGTGGAATTCTCCGAAACTAGTCTGCTTTGCATTATTACAACTGTAAAATATTTAAGCGAGAAGATACCTCCTGTCAGTTTCTTTCTCACTATCTACAAAAGTGCACTTCTTCGTTTTTCTGAAGTCTGAAGGCAGATGTAGCCTGACAAATGCAGCGCCTTCAGGCAATGATAACAACAACATTCCATGATATTTAGGGATATGTGGCATCATTGTGCTCTGCATCAACCTCTTCCACCGTCATTGATATGCTTTTCCAATCTAGAAAGTTTCTAACACATCAAGGATCTGAAGAATCGTGGTAGATGCTGACTGCCTTGCCTAATGGTTTTGCACCTCTGCCTCGAAGACATAAGCCATCATACAGCCTTTACTTCTATCCTTAGGCAGTGGTGAATCTGACCAACAACATCTGGCAATGCCCTGGTTATTTAACAGACACCAAGAGATCATTCCGGTTTGTATGTTCAGGCTAAATGTCACCACTAAGACAACCAACACATGCATATAATCACAGTTTACAAAAGTTACAAAATTAGAGAGTCAAATGGAACAAAAAATCATGCTCAAAATAAACTACACAAAAGCAATTATTTGATTGTGACATCTAAATGTATCCTAATAATCTACTCTGTTGTATTCCCAGTTAAAACTGGAGCCAACACGTAAGTATTAAACTCTGCAATAACTGAGGAGATTCAGAGGCGATTTATTGCAAATAATAAAATGAACTCACTTGGCAAAGGATTACTCAACTAACAAAATATATATATATATATATTTTTTGTATAAAACTACGGTACTGATGCTTACTTGATACTGACCAACTGTCCATCTTCTGTGTTTTCATAGAAACTGACTACTGGAGCAGGGAAGACATTTACGCCTGTATTCCCCCAGAGTTAGACAAATTGCATATATCACACCCCTGGAGTACAATGTCATAGAAGTATGAACAAGTAAGTGCGAACTTTATGCAAAAGCCTCTGTGGCATATAACCTCAGCCCCAAAGATTAACATAAGTTTATAACTATCTACATCTTGTTCACAAGGATGTTAACTAACTGCCAAACACTTGCACGAGATATTATGAAAGAAAAAAAGAATAAAAGTATATTCTTATCTAATTATAGAAGGGTAAAATCCGATAGCTTTAAACTGCTATTTAATTAAACTTTGATCTCAGTTAATCTCGCAATCTGTTTTGTTTTTTAATTTTGCCAGACATTATTGTTTGTTTTGAATTTCGCGCAAAGCTACACGAGGGCTATCTGCGCTAGCCGTCCCTAATTTAGTAGCGTAAGACTAGAGGGAAGGCAGCTAGTCATCACCACCCACCGCCAACTCTTGGGCTACTCTTTTACCAACGAATAGTGGGATTGACCATCACATTATAACGCCCCCACGGCTGAAAGGGCAAGCATGTTTGGTGTGACGGAGATTCGAACCCGCGACTCTCAGATTATGAGTCGAGTGCCTTAACCACCTGGCCATGATGGGCCTCCCTTAAAAGTAATAGAAGGACATTATGTCATATATGGGTTGTATGTGTTTTCCCATGGATTAACTAATGACATGGACAATCGTATCTGTAAAACAGACTCTTAACTTTAGTTAAAAATCTTAAATAAACTTCTGTGTTTAACGTGAAAAGAAACTGGAAAACAAAACTTCGTATACCAGATTACTTTGCTACTTATACTTTCTTTCATATATTTAACGGTTACAAAGAATCTCTCTGAAGTTTTTT